AGTCTGACGTTGTGACACCTGGCCTGCGAAATCTGACTAATGACAGATTGATTGAGTAATTAATTAAAGCTGAGATTAATTAAAGCTGCAAATTAATTAAATGCTGAACAACAAATTAATGCAAGTTGACTTAAAGACTAACTAATATTAACTAAAAACAAAATTGGTTGATAATAAAAGTTGATCTAATACTAAAGATATAATATGCACCGTGTGGATTAAAAACAAATTAATTAATGAAAGAAAATCTAATTAAAGACCCTAATAAGCTAACGTTAATAACAAAATCTGATTGTAAATTGAAATTAACTCAAAATCTACTAAATATTAATTAATCTAAAATAAAACTAATATTCTAATTAACTCCTAAAACAAATAAAAATTAAAACTAATAAAAGCTAAAATCTAGTTAAAACTCTAAAAAGAAATTAATATCTAAAACTAATTAATTTTAGAAAAACTATTTAAACTCTATTAAGAACTAAAATATTCTAAAATAGAAAATAAAGGATAACAATCTATTTGAAATCTAATCTCTATGCCAAAAATAAGAAATAAAATATAGAAAATTAAATTGGTGAACATAAAATGCAAAAATGCAATAAAATAAACTGTAACAAAACCGGACACCGAAATACCACCGAACCCAACAGTGTAGACTGAATCACCGGCAGAGCGCAAATTCCACAATAAATATCCGTAATTGAAATGGTTTGAGTCGTCTGAAACACGGGGAAAGGGCTGTAATCCCGATAAAAATCAATCCGGCTGCAAAAATGCACAGTATGCGGTATGCAAATGCAAATGCAAAATGAAACGAAACATAAGCCAAATTGCGAGAAACGGTTGGTCAAATTTTGGGGTACAACAATGTGCAAGCTGAATATGTCTCTGTATGGTGTGAAGCAATCTCCTCGGCAGTGGAACAGGATATTCGACAAGTTCATGGCAGACATTGGTTTTACTAGGAGCCAAACCAACCACTGTGTTTACTTCAGATTTCGACCTGGAAACTCACTTGTTATTTTTTTTTTATGTGGATGATATCCTCATAAGTAGAAACAATGTTGAGGATGTAATGGAGGTGAATGGTGAACTCAACAAGGAGTTCAAAATGAAGGATTTGGGAGATTCCATCAGGATTCTTTGGACTGATACTCGGAGTGATAGAAAGCAGTCGAAGTTGTGCTTATCTCAAGAGACGTACCTATGGAAGCTTCTAAAAAAGTTTGCTATGTGAAATTTGAAGCCTGTTGTGACTCCAACAAATCCTCAATTTAAGCTTAATACTACTCAAAGTCCGAGTACTGAAGCTGAAAGAATCTATATGAGTAGCATTCCATACGCTAGTGTAGTAGGTTATTTGATGTATGATATGGTATGTACCAGGCCAGACATAACGTATGGTGTGAGCCTTGTAATAAGGTATATAGTCAATCCTGGAAAGGCGCATTGGCAAGCTGTAAAGTGGATTTTCAGGTACATAAATGGGTCTTTGAAAAGAGTATTGATTTATGGTGGAACCTGTGGTGATGATAGCAAAGTCAAAATTGAAGGGTTTGTCGACTCTGATTATGCAGGTTGTATGGATTCTAGAAAGTCTATTTTTGGATATGTGTTCATTACGTTTGATACAACAATCAGTTGGAAAGTAATGCTTCAGAAGGTTGTTTCCTTATCAACCACTAAAGCATAATACATTTCCTTCACTAAAGCTATGAAAGAAGTATTGTATCTTGAAGATTTTGCAAAAAGCTAAAAGTTTAATGTCGAAGTATCACTACTAAATGTGATAGTCAAAGTGGAATACACCTGTCAAAGAAATCAGCTTATAGTGAGTGAACCAAGCACATTGATGTGAGGTTGCACTTCGTTAGAAAGACAATCGAGCATGGTGAAGTCCAGGTGCTAAAGGTTTTGACTGATGATAATGTTACTAATATGATCACCAAGACGTTGCCAAGTCGCATGTTTTCTACTGTATGCAGTTGATAAAGCTGCATAATTAAAGCTAGTTTATTCCATGTTGTTTGTAGAGTTAGATCCAAGGTGGAGACTTATGAGATTTTTGGTCAAACTCTAGTTTTGTCGAGGAATAACTTTCATGTATTTCGACAGGAGACAAGCATGAAGTCGAAGATAGGTCGCATGCTGTGGTCGAAGGATATATATTGTATTCGAAGTCTATTCTAATATGTATTGTCGAAATGTATATCGAATTGGGCCTTGTGTTAAGGATTCAATTGTTTAGTTAAATTGTATTATAAGTTTGCTAGTTTGTCTATAAATAGGCTAGATCACTCAAATTGTTGAGTGATGCCAATTGTGTTATTCACTTGTAATCTTTTGTAATATTGATAAAGTGAATAGTATAATAATTTTCCCTAATCCTTCTTCTTTTTTCTTCTTTATCTTTTCTTCTTTCTCTCTTTGTTCTAACTGTCTTCATTGTTCACCCAAGAACTCTATTTCTTAATCTTTATTTGTTGAGAGGTATTGTTTGTGATTATGGGTGTGCAGAACCCAACCCTCCGAGGAGATATCCTAGGACTAGTCCTTGGGATGTTCGTCCTCGTCAACTCTGCGCGACATCTCTTTTACCTGAAAAGCAGGGGGAAAAGTGAATTTGATGACAAAATTAAATCCACCCTTCCACTGCTAGTCAAGTGAAAGGGTGCGCAAAGGGCCAAGGAAAAATCCTCGACCTAAGCCCTACTCAAATGACGCAGCTAAAACAATGAGGAAATGCCCGGTAATTTTCCTAGCACATCCGGGGACAGTCCCCGCGCACAAAACCCAAAACTCTCATGAGGAAACCACCAGAGTCCATGGCCCATCTGGAAATGGCACCACCATATCGTCCTTACTCCGAGATCAACTAAAACCTACGGTTTTATAACTTTCCCTTTCCTAAAAACAACCACTATAGTGATGGCAGCAGACAAATGGCTGCGCCACTATTGGCCACCAACATCCACCGCGAATACGCCCTATAACTACGTCATTTCAGTCATAACCCCATGCATTCTAAGACATCAAATAAGAAAAACAAAGAGTAAGCAAGGAGTCGACTTACTTACGTGGTCGAGGAAGAAGTTATAAACCTAAACAACTCTGGTCGAACGTCGTACGGTGGTCGGAGAAAACTTAAAGGCTGCAAGCGGCGGACGGAGAAAACGAACAATAATAGAGAGAAGCGAAAGTTCTGAATGAACGAACCCTCTCGCTATTTATTGGCGAAATTTTTGATTTTTTAAAGAATCTTATTAATTAATTTTTTTATTCAAAATTGTCTAACAAATATATATATATAACATTAATAATTTGGTTTAAATTAATTAAATTCTAATTTCAATAAATTTTGATAATATTAAAATATATAATGTAAATATCTTTTAATAATTGTTATTAATAGCGGTGTTTTAAATTAGATTGAATTCTTTTTAACAGAGAAAAAATTGTATTGTTTTTATGCATACCAAAATTAAAGATAAATTAAGCTACCTTATATATATATATATATATATATATATATATATATATATATATATATATATATATATATATATATATATATATATATATATATATATATATATATATATATATATATATATATATATATATATATATATATATATATATATATATATATATTCGTTTTTCTACTTGTATTTAGATATTTTCCGATTTCTTTTTATCAAATATTAATTTATATTAAAATTGAAAATCCAGGAAAGGTAGAGAGTACTGTTAGGTTAATTTGATGGTTACACCCAGTGTTTTAAAAATCGGACCGGTCATCGAACCGGTGAGGGTATTGGGTCACTGGTTTATCGGTCGAATCACTGGGTCACTGGTCGAACCGCATGACTAAACCGGATTAAACCGGAAAACTCGGTTGAATAGATCTGTCATTATATAGATATAAAACCGGTCAAACCAGATGATTCAGTTTCTAAAAAAATATAACTAGTACTTAAATTTTTTGAAAATATCATATCATAAATTCACAAGTTCATAATTTAAATTCAAATTTTAAACAAATGTATCACACATAACAAAATAATACAAAATTACAAAATCTAATTGCAACATAATATAATTGAATATTTTATAACAAAATAACTCTAATCTCTACTTAAGTTTAGTTCCAATGAGGTAAAATTATTTCAATATTAGGATCTCCTTCTTCAATATCAAAACCATCGGCAGTAAAATCAATCGCATTTGCAACATTTTCCCCATCAATGATATTATTATTTTGATTGTTTTATCCAAAATTAAGATGTTCATCATCCTCGACATCAACCTCATCCAAATTTAATTGATCTGTAACAACAAATAAATTAGAGAGTTAAACAATTAACATATAATAATAAATCAAAGTAACAAAATTGTTATTAGAATAACTAATATAATACCAATATCATTATAACAAAAAATTTATTTTTTTTAATTTTTATAATTAAATTTTAATTAAAAAATAAAAAAATGCATTTGAACCGGCGGTTTCTGTAAACCGGCCGGTTTCCAGTTTTCTATGGTTCAACCCGAGTTTTACCGGTTTTTACGGGTTGGATGACACGGACGATCCAATTAGTAAACCAGACCGGTTACTAGGCCGGTTCCCGGTTCAACCGGTCCGACCGGCCGGTCCGGTCCGATTTTTAAAACATTGGTTACACCTACCAATCCAAAAACGCAAATACTGTTTGCTCTCTCAATTTATTATAAAAAAAATTAGGTTAAACACTTACCAATCCAAAAACTCAGATATTGTTTGTACTTCTCCGTCAAACTGCTAACCATAGGTTGTTGTAGATCTGCGCTTCTCTATCAAACTGGTAACCATCGGTTGCCGATCCCTAGCGCCGCCGTCACTGTTCGCCGTCAGCGTGCAAGGTTGGTGATCGTTAGATTCTATCCGCTAATATATCGTAAGGTTTTTGCAAAGATTTATTTACTTATGAGTTTGGTTGTTTTTGAGTTGCAGGAGAATGAAAACAAGGAGACAATATTATGGTAGAGACAGAATCAGTGGTTTACCTGATTCTCTTTTACTTCAAATTTTGTCGAATTTGAAAGTGGAGCAAGCTGTACAAATATCCATCGTCTCCACAAGATGGAAGGATATGTGGAAACATGTTTCCGTTCTTTATCTCTGTGATGATTATAGATACTTCAAATCTATCGAAAGTTTCTCTAATTTCGTTTCTCAAATTTTCTCTTTCCGCAATGACAAAACCTCCCTACAAGCTCTCACTTTTAGGGGCCGCTACCGTTTTGACCCTGAGCTACTCAAAAGGATCCTACAATACTTATTTTCCCACAATATCCAACAGTTAAATATGATGGTGGCTTGTAGTCTTGAACACTTTCCACTTTCCACCAACTTTTCATGTCATACTTTAACCTCTCTTAAACTTTTTTCACGCCCTGAATGGGGAAAATATGATAGATTACCACCAGTATTTCCAAATTCTCTTCAATTTCCTGCATTAAACTACTTGTTTTTAGGATGGTTTACCTTTTGCTGCACTACTGATGACTATGCTGACCCCTTTTCAGTATTTCAAAGTTTGAAGACTCTGACCATTCAATTTTGTGAACTTTTAAATGAAAAAACCCTCTTCATATCAAGTGTCTCGCTATTCAATTTAAGAATACTATTGCCTACCGCGTCTTACAAATTGAAGTTATCTACCCCAAATCTTTGTAGCTTTGCTTTTAGGGGTCATTCTTTGCAGAATCTATGTGGGCACAATTGCATTAGCAATACCAATTTCTCTTATATTAAACATGTAAGGATTGAATTAGCACGCCATCAACCCCAAGTTTCTCCTTCAATTCTATTCAATTGGCTTGTTGAGCTTGGCCTTATGGAATCATTGACAATCTCTTCAAAGACTCTTGAGGTTTTTTCATTTTTCATTTTTTTTAAAAATATGTTTGCATTATTTTTTATTGACTGATAAATCACCTTCATTCCTCATTGCTTAGGTTCTCAGCTTAGTTCCTGATTCATGGAAGATTGATTTCTCTTATTTACATAACTTGAAGTTACTGAAAATAGAAACACATGATATTTGTCCGTCACCCCCCGATGGAACGGAAGACTTTTTGCTTCAAAATGCAAAGTCAGCAAAGAAAGTCATTTTGCCAGGGTAAATTTGCATTCAACTTTTAAATACAATTGTTAGCTTTTGCTTTATTTTTCGTTTTTGTTTCCCTTACTCTCTTGTTATAACTTATTATAAGTGGATAAATTATAAGTTACTTGTGTATTAGACCTGACTGGATCCAACCTCAACTTAAGTGGATTCTCAAGAGGATTAATGTGTGATATTAGAATTAATATTTCCTACAATGTTGATGTTAGAACAACAAGTATAGAAGATTTTTTGTTAAGTAAAAGACAATAAACACAATTGATTTTTTTGTTAAGTTAGTCTAGTCTAACTAATGGTGTTCAACTATAGATCACTTATAATTCCCTTTATTTATATCTTAGATTACAGTGTTACAATATTGAGGCTCAGTCTAAAATAAAATAATACCTCTGAAGCCCTTCCCCAATTATCTACCAATAATAACCTCCACAATACGAGCCATGCTCAATAGGTTGATTTTTTTTCCAACTATTATATTTGTTGTCTGGTTTGTGTTTTTTTATTTATTTTTCTTGCCGTACACCTTATTAGTTTTGATTGATATGCATTCACTAATTTTTTGCATCCTATTTTTCTTTTGTTGATGTTTCCTTTGATTTTCAGTCTGATTTGCAACATATATTGCTTTTATATTTTACAGACCTACCCTGGAAGAAATTTGTAAGTCCATGAGTTCAGAACAGGAGCGAATGCAGTGACGACAATTTTTCCAAGAAAGATATTTCCATAGCTAGATAGGGTTATTAATATTTATTTATTTTCCTTATAACTTATTGAATTTTTTTTTTGGTACAATGAATTATTGTTTTTATTTTGTTTATCAAAGAAGATTTATATATTTCAACATTCGATAGCCCTGCCCTGTTGTGCAATGGTCCAAATCAGACTTATTTTGCATTGTTTGTCCTAAAATTTTGAATTTGGTGTTACTTTATTTTTTCAATATGGTTGTTTTACAATAAAGCCGCTGCGTTTCCGGTGTCATGGTTGCCTAAATTGCACCTTTTCTACTTATCCAATTCAAAGTTGCATTGTTGTCTCATTGGCTTACTATAATACTTGTTACATTGCATACAAATACAATACTCTTGTCTCATTGGCTTACTTGTGTAAATTTGCATTCAACTTTTAAATACAATTGTTAGCTTTTGGTTTATTTTTCGTTTTTGTTTCCCTTACTCTCTTGTTATAACTTATTTCGTTACACTTTGAAATGTCAAATAAACACAAGTATAGAATGATCTTAACATTTACTTTGATTTTGATAAAAGTTACACTTTGAAATGTCAAATGATCTTAACATTTACTTTAGAATGATCTTAACATTTACTTTGATTTTGATAAAAGTTACACTTTGAAATGTCAAATGATCTTAACATTTATTTTGATTTTGATAAAAGTTACACTTTGAAATTTTAACAAAATCAGAATGTTGCTGTGAATTTGTCAAACTCAGCATCATTTCAAAGTTAGAGTTGAGTTAGAGATGAAAGGGGAATCTTTGTATTCAATGTTCACCATGAAATGAATAAATTGCATTGAGTTTGAGTAAACATGAATCATTCTGATAATGGATTCTTATCTTTTGAATATAACAGTGATGATTTTAAGATATTTTGTTTTTCCTATATGCTTTCAATTTGGGTTTTAAAAAATGGCAAAAATGGTCGCGACAAAACGTAGTAGGTGCCGATATCGAGACCACTATGACCGTTTTTATATTAAAGAGTAAATTGTAGATAATTTACACCGCGACAGCGACAACCAATGGCGCAACACCTTACCAATGACGCAACACCCATGACAACCAATGGCGCAACACCTTTATCAACCGAAATCACAAAATCCGCTTTACTCTATCAAAACAATTTAGATTTCAATATAAATTTTAGTCCTGTGTAGCATACTGTGATAACAACCTCCTTGTGTATATATATTTCATGAAATAAATAAAGGTGTCAAATATTCCATCAGCCAATTTTGAAGCCAATATTAGGATAACGAAAATTACAGACTTCACCAATGGGGTCTGTTGGAGGACTGGTGATTTACTTAGAGAATAACGAAAATGTTGTCAGCCGTATCAAAATGTGGAGTAAATGGAAAAATTTATTTAAGATAAGATGTATGAGAAATATCATGGAGAAGACCACTATCATTTGTAGCTTTAAATCATGTATTTCAGACATGTGTATCGTCGTCTATAAAAGAAATATATAATTAATCCTTTTAACCATATCCTTTCCATATTTCTCAATTTCAAAAAGATTACTTTCATATGAGACATAAATAGAAGAGTCCTCATCTATGGGATCATCATTCTCAACAACTTCATCTTGAAAGGGGGATTTTTCAACTTGAGGGTGATAGTAATGTAACCTCAAGGGAGATTCCATGTGGTTATAATCTTTTGGGTTATCTTATAATTAAAATGAAACCTTTTTCAGTAATAGTAATGTAACATGACAAATGAATTAGTTAACAGTTCAAAATTAAATCTTAAAATATATTTAGGTGTATCAAGTGTAAATAAGAGACCTTGCAGGTAGAAGGGGTGAAGTGTTTAATTTAATTGGTTTACAGTTTCCAAATCACAATGTGTGAAAGGATAATTGGTTTAAATATGAATTTCAAATGATATGTGATAAAAAACGGTATAATGTTGTATTAAAGAAATTTATTTATATATTTATTAAAAATTATAAGAATCACCCAACCTAAATAATGGTCCAAGCATGGGTAAATATGTCTATCTTGAATGTTTTATTATTAATTTGTGTTTAGATTTTCATGAGATGTGAACCTACCACATGATTTCACCAATTTGAAATATGTGACTTATGCATCTAAAGATATAAAAATAAATATATTCCTATGATAACTTCTAGATGTTTCTCTCTCAATCATAGGCGTGCTCCTAGTAACCTTGACCAAGTAAATGAAAGTGAGTGCATTATTTTGACTTAGAAAAAGACTGATTTATAGTTTATTTGGTTAGATGATGGATTATCAAACCTGGTTATAGATGATGGATTTACAGTATTTTTAAAACCGGACTAAATCTGCTGGTTCAATTGGTTGGAATGCGAATCGAAAATGAATCTGATTGAGTTAACTTTTTAAAATTGCTAGTCGGTTAAAATCGAAGTAAAACTAAAAAAAATTAGATTGAACCGTCCAAAAGCATTTGAATCGGACCAGGTATTATAAAATCACCAGTTCAAAAAAATGTATCAAATTGAATATGTTAATATCACAAAAAAGAATTCGTGTGTTTTTTACAACTATACAAACTTCTAAATTTTTTTACTTCATTATAGTTGTTCTTTCAACAACGCTCCATCACCATCATGCCACCTCTTTCAAACATAGTCACAATGTGAAACTCAATATTGATTTTCGTTTAGTTCTATATTGTTTGTTGTTGTCAATTAATTTTTTTTTATCGTAGTCCAACCCAAATTTGATTTTTTGTTGTTTAATGAAGTATATTGTATTATTTATATTCTGGTATTTTATCTTATTTAATTTAGGTATTCTTAATTTATATTTTTTGTTGTTGTTGTTGTCAATCACATCTTTCCATTATATTTTATTATTTTAATTTTGTTTTGAATTAGTTTAATTTATATAGTTATTGAGCTTGTTTAAAATAGTTTTAAACTAAGGTTGAAATGAAGTGTAAAACTATGTTATGCTATGTATTATCGATAATGTTGTATTAAATTTATAATGAATTTTTGAAATATTTATTTTATTAAGTTGTGAATATAATTATGTAAGATATATTTATGAAATTTAGTTTTATATTATTAGTTTATTTAATAAACCGTTCGACTGTAAGATATATTTATGAAATTTAGTTTTATATTATTAGTCTATTTAATATGAAGTTTTGACTTCTTAAGTCGGTTGTGGACCTGACTTAACAAACTATTATTAGGTCGGTTAGACAGAACCCGACTTAATAAGTCTAGCCTGCAGAAACTATTTATACCCGACCTAAGAACTTACTTTCTTAAATCGGGTATAATTAACCGACCTAAGAAGTTGTTTTTTTTGTAATAACACTTTTTTTAATATATATATATATATATATATATATATATATATATATATATATATATATATATATATATATATATATATATATATATATATATATATATATATATATATATATATATATATATATATATATATATATATATATATATATATATATATATATATATATATATATATATATATATATATATATATATATATATATATATATATATATATATATATATATATATATATATATATTAAAGAATCGGTTAACAATCAAAATATTTTAAAGATTGGAAGGTTGGAAGTTCATAACAATGTAAAGCCAGTATTGCTAAATTTGGTTTCTTAACCAAATTAACAGTTTTTACAAATTGCAAGTTGTATCCGAAATTTACAGCTTGCAAACGCGACTCAATTATGAAAATTTCTAAAGTTAAGTTGTTACATGAGGAACAAGCCATTACGTAAATCCTACGAAATTCATAGAAACACAAGCGACCATTTGTTTGAATAGGCTTTTCGCATTGAAGCAGTCCCAAGGACTCCGCCGAGCGAAATACATGTTGCTATGGTGCTTGGTACACTACTAGAAAACTGCATTTTAGCTTCGAATTTAGCCTCGGCCACCGACACCGACACTACGTAGCCTCGGCCAAACCTACGCTATTCAAACGCAAAAAACTCATTTCGTAGTTATATTTTACCATTATTTTAATTTTATTCAATAGACATGGCTACGTCGAGGCTAGTTTTTTTCTAATTTTTTTATTATTATTTTTATATATATTAGACACGGTTTGTCCAACGCTAAATATTAATTTATTTTATAATAATTTTTATTTTATGTAATAGACACCGATGGATCAAGGCTAAATACTATATTATATTTTTATTATTAAGTAGACACGGATTTACCGAGGGTATTTATTAATGTATTTTTTTATTTATTTAATAGACATGAATTCACCAAGGCTAACTATTAATTTTTTTTTTTAAATTTGTATTATTAATTAGACACGGGTGATTCAAGACTAGTTGAAAATTTACGAAATATTAAAAGTGTTCCAAAGAGGGATTCGAACACTAGACATATGAGATACATGATAATATTGTAACCAACTGAACTATCAAATTTAATTGAAATATTTACTTATTTAATTTATTTATTTTCCAATAAATTCCGAAAATTTATTTTCCCTCTCTTCTTTTTCCTCTTTCCCTCTTTCTTTTCCTGCTCTTATTTCTTTCTCTTACGTTTTTTCTGAAAACCCTAAACACTTTCTTCTACAATTCCATTAATCTAGAATCAAACAATTGGAAGATATCTTGGTACAAAAAAAATCAAAAAATCATGTACTTTCTCGTCTGATTTCAAAATCAAAAAATTTGTCGGTTCAATATGATTTCGATTCTCTTACAATTTTTCATCTCTTCATTAGATAGTTCAGAGATGGGGTGAACGCACAGTAAGATCATCGATTCAGTGTGTTTCATGTTTATCAGGTTTTCCCCCTTTCCCTCTTCCTTTTTCCACTGCTTTTCATCTCTTAAGAACAAAAACCCTAAGCATTATCGGAGGAAGAAATTTCTCCATTTTATCACTATTACAATGCATTTCTTTGTACAGATTAATGTATTCTTT